CGACTTGGGCATTTGGACTCGGCTCGCTCGAAAATAATATTTTTTCAAAGATCGACTCGGGTACGTAGACTCGGCTCGCTCGAAAATATTATTTTTTCGAAGATCGACTCGGGCACTTGGACTCGGTTCGCTCGAAAATAATATTTTTCCGAAGATCGACTCGGGTACGTAGACTCGGCTCGCTCGAAAATAATATTTTTTAGAAGATCGACTTGGGTACGTGGACTCGGCTCTCGCTCGGAAAGAATATTTTTTCGAAGATCGATTCGGGTACGTAGATTCGGCTCTCGCTCGAAAATATAAAATTTTCGGTCGCTCCACTCGGGTAAGTAGATACCGCAACTCTAGCTCTCGGAAATTAAGACTCGCTCGTAGGTGTCGGCCGTCGAGGAATCGAGTGTCCAAGTATTCGCCGTCAAGGAGGTAAGTATCTAGGTGTCTTGTAGGTATTCGCTGTCGAGGAAGTCGGTGTCCAGGTGTCCGTCGTCGAGGAAGGAGGTGACCACGTATCCGCCGTCGAGGAGGTAAGTGTCTACGTGTCCGCCGTCGAGGAAGGAAGTGTCTACGTGTTCGCCGTCGAGGAGGTAAGTGTCTAGGTATCGTTTAGGTCTCCGCCATTGGGGAAGTCGGTGTCCAGGTGTCCGTCGTCGAGGAAGGAGGTGTCCACGTATCCGCCGTCGAGGAGGTAAGTGTCTAGGTATCGTTTAGATCTCCGCCGTCGGGGAAGTCGGTGTCCAGGTGTCCGTCGTCGAGGAAGGGGTGTCCACGTATCCGCCGTCGAGGAGGTAAGTGTCTAGGTATCGTTTAGGTCTCCGCCGTCGAGGAAGTCGGTGTCTACGTGTCCGCCGTCGAGGAAGAAAGTGTCTACGTGTTCGCCGTCGAAGAGGTAAGTGTCTAGGTATCGTTTAGGTCTCCGACGTCGAAAAAGTCGGTGTCTACGTGTCCGCCGTCGAGAAGGTAAGTGTCTAGGTATTATTAATTCGGGTAAAATGTTATGTAGGTGTATACTATTTGTTATTTTTATTTATTTTGTGACCTGTTTTTATATTTACGTCAAATAAATTTCAATACTTTTTAATTTATATTTTTTTAATTTTTCGACTAGTTCTATTTTTTTGTAATTTTGTCCACTTGTTTTTTATTTTTATTTTTTATTTTTTTTTCGACTAATTTTCAGATTTTGTTTTAATTTTTCCCACTTGTTTGTTTAATTTTATTTTTTTTTGTTTTTCTAGTTTTATTTTTTTCTAATTTTTCCCACTTGTTTGTTATTTATCATTATTCGGTGCACGAGTGGTGGGACGGTGCACGAGTGGAGGGGCGCCTGCAGTCAGCGCTATCAGTTGGCGGACGGATACACGTTTCTTCGCCGATCTCGAAACATTAATATCTCTTGAACAATATATCCCGAATAAGTAAATTTGCACCGTCAAAATAAAGAAAATGAAAAAGAAAGTTGGTACGCGCGCATCTGATGCTCGGTGTCAAGTTTGCTAATGCAGATACCTCGAAATACGAGTCTCCGAAATATCAATAAATTTCATTATGTTTGCATTTATACTCGTCTCATCGAGATACATTACTTGTGTGAGTTTTGCAGAGATCAGACTGATAATTGCGGAGATAGAGTTCAAGTAAAAAATATCGAAAAAATTAGTTTTTGTTAATAAAGCTAAATTGGTGCCAAATACAATTGCGAATGACGCGAAATGTATGTACGAGCAATCACTGAGCGTGCCAGCGCTTGGTCTCGACGAGAAAAAAAACTTTTCGCTCCATCAGGTGCAGAAATGTTACGATCCCAAATATAAGGTTGAAAAATAATTATTTCTCGTCAAGACTAAGCGCCGCAACGCTCAGTAATCGCTTACGTAAACATTTCGCGTCGAACGCGTCAACAATCGGCGCCAATATTTTATTATTCTGAAAAACTCAATTTTACGACATTTCTTATTTGGATTGTATCTCCCTTGCAATCTGTCGGATCTCTGCGAAACTTACACAAGAAATGTATTTCGATAAGACGACGAGTAGTGATGCATCATACATTGAATGTAATTGATATTTCGATGAGTCATATTTGCAGGCATACACCTCTTGATACGACTCATCGAAATATCAATTACATTCTACATATGATGCATCTCTACTTATCGTCTCATTGAAATACATTTCTCGTGTAAGTTTCGCAGAGATCGGACTAATAATAGCGGAGATACAGTCGAAATAAGAAATGCCGTAAAATTGAGTTTTTCAGAATAATGAAATATTGGTGCCAATTCTCAACGCGTTCGACGCGAAACGTTTACGTGAGCGATTACCGAGCGTGGCGGTGCTTAGTCTCGACGAGAAATAATTATTTCTCAACTTGAAATTGTAAACTTGGAATCGTACAATTTCAGCGTATGATTGAGCCTGAATAATTATTTCTCGTCGAGACTAATCGCTGCCACGCTCAATGATTGCTTGTACAAACGTTTCGCGTCGACTGCAATGACACTTGGCACCAATACTTCATTATTCTATAAACCTCATTTCAACAACATTATTTCTCATTTCGACTCTATCTCCGCTACTGTCAGTCCGATCTATGCCAAACTCACACAACAAGTGTATTTCGATGAAACGACGAGTAGAAATGCATCATACATTGAATGTAATTGATTTCGATGAGTCATATCTAGAGGTGTATGCCTGCAAATATGACTCATCGAACTATCAATTACATTCAATGTATGATGCATCACTACTCGTCGTCTCATTCAAATACATCTATTGCGTAAGTTTCGCATAGATCGGACAGAGAATAAGGGAGATAGAGTCGAAATGAGAAATGTTGCGAACCTGACTTCTTGTTAATACTCGAAAATTGGTGCCAAATATTATTCACTGCGACGCGTCCGGTATGTATACTGTACTAATAGTCGAGCGTGGCATCGCCTAGCCTCGACAATAAATAATTACTATTAATTTTGGATAATTAAACGCGAGGATTGAAAGGAATGGATGCGTGACGTTGGCACAATGAAATATTACATATTTTCTTACAAATTTTTTTGGGTTTATTGCAGGTCCAACCCACAAGTACAGTGTGCGAAATACAAATGGATAAAAAAAAAAACGTCTCTTTCTCTTTCGACGCGGTTTTCAAACGCGCGTACATCTCCTTCAGGATACGCCTCTTGAGGAGTTCTCACTCCTCATACTCCGTGAGTTTCCGCACTAGAAGCTCGCGTGCCTCTTGATCTCCCTTCTCCTCGTCCCGTTGCCTCCTGCTCTTGAATTTCTTCCTCTTAGCCTCACTGCGCTGTTGAAGGATCTTCGCCTGCGCCGAAGAATGACTCGTCTGAAAAAAATTAAACAAGTTTACACATCAATTTGCATGATACGAATGAAATTGAATATTTAATTGAGAAAAAGGTAACATGATTACATATATCGTATCGAATATGTCGTGTTTCTCTTGCGCGTACATGATATTTGCAATATTACAATGCCCAGCATTGATATTGCGAATATCATGTACGCGCAAGAGAAACACGACAGATTTGATACAATATATGTAATCATGTACACCCACGGTCATTGATTCTGTCCCTCGGAAATTTTCACAAACTCTGAAGTGATCACTTTTCTACATTAATGCTCATAATCCATGCACGATTAACGAAACGAAATCGTGCATGGACTATAAGCATTAATGTAGAAAAGTGATCACTTCAGAGTTTGTGAAAATTTCCGAGGGACAGAATCGATGACCGTGAGTGTACATATTTTGCACGAACAAAGAAAACGGAGGAATGTTCTTACCTTTTCTACACGGACGGCTTTTTTATCTGGCAGCTGGCCTCCTCTACCACCAGTATGACATCCTCCTCCTGCTCCTCCTTCATATTCTTTCTCTTCTCCGCCATATTCATTAAGAAATTTTTGAAAATAGTTAAACAATTAGCGTCAATCACTTGAAATGCACTCAATTACATTTGGCTGTAGTGAAAACGTAAACATGATTCAATCATTTCGAATCTCTCGTGCGTGAATCTCGAGCGCGTACATGATATTCGCAATACAATCAATGCTGGGCATTGTAATATTGCGAATATTTAATGTACGCGCAAGAGAAA